GGAATGCATTCCAAGATGCCCAGGGGCTGCCTGGAACCACAGATAGTACCAAAGCCTGTACATACTATGTTTTTTCTACAAATGCATACTTACAATGAAGGTTCATTTATAACTTTAGGCACAGTAAGAGATTAACAATAATGACTAATAATCAAATGGATTATAACAACACCTTGTAATGAAAGTTATGTGAATGGCTTTGTGGCCATTATTAAATAGAATAATGGTGACTTGAACACACGCACTGCGATGCCTCTACAGTTGATCTGATAACTAAATGGCTGCAAAGTGACCAATGGAGCATGTACGGCGTAGATACATATATGGAGTAGATATATTGGGCAAAGAGATAATTCATACACAGACAGGACAGAGCAAGATTTCATCGCTATTCAGAACAGCATGTAATTTAAAATTTATGAATTGTTTATTTCTGGAAGTTTCCATTTAATATTTTTGCACTGCAGTTGACCATGGGTAAGTAAAACCGTGGATAAGAGGGGATTACTCTAATGGCACACCAGGTGTCTCCACGGGTGCTGGGGAGGACGAGGCTTGCTTCTGAATTCATAAGAACCTATCCTCCAGCCAGAGGATATGCTAAATGCAGAATGTGGGTTGCATTAGAGCCGAAGTGAGTAGAAGGCAGATCTAACAGAGAAACCCATGGGAATGAAGGTCATTACTGATGTGTCCTCCGCCCATTCAGAGCCTATGCGAGGGCTCTAACCACCAGGTGCTCAGTGAGCCACCTCTAGGACGACACAGAGGCCAGGCTGAGGGGTCTGAGAGCCCTCTCTGCTTCCAGGAGACCCAGGCACAAAGGCCCCCACCTGTCCCCTCGCCTCTGGCTTCCCAAGTTCTCAAAGCCCCAGGCTCTCATTCTGCCATTCTGGTGGGCATATCTGTCTGCCCTATAAGACTGGGAACCCTTAGAGCAGGGGTGGGGAACATCCAGCCTGAGGGCCTTATATGGTCTGGCCCTGCCAAGGCATTAGAAGTGAGTTAATGAAATGTTTGACCAAATACAGCAGGCTAATTTTTAAAAAATATATATTTTTCTTGCTGATAGTATTACAGATACCTCCCATTTCTCCCTTCTCTGCCATATATGGAGTAGATACATTGGGCAAAGAGATAATTCATACACAGACAGGACAGAGCAAGATTTCATCGCTATTCAGAACAGCATGTAATTTAAAATTTATGAATTGTTTATTTCTGGAAGTTTCCATTTAATATTTTTGCACTGCAGTTGACCATGGGTAAGTGAAACCGTGGATAAGAGGGGACTACTCTAATGGCACACCAAGTGTCTCCACGGGTGCTGGGGAGGACGGGGCTTGCTTCTGAATTCATAAGAACCTATCCTCCAGCCAGAGGATATGCTAAATGCAGAATGTGGGTTGCATTAGAGCCGAAGTGAGTAGAAGGCAGATCTAACAGAGAAACCCATGGGAATGAAGGTCATTACTGATGTGTCCTCCGCCCATTCAGAGCCTATGCGAGGGCTCTAACCACCAGGTGCTCAGTGAGCCACCTCTAGGACGACACAGAGGCCAGGCTGAGGGGTCTGAGTGCCCTCTCTGCTTTCAGGAGACCCAGGCACAAAGGCCCCTCGCCTTTGGTTTCCCAAGTTCTCAAAGCCCCAGGTTCTCATTCTGTCTTGCTGGTGGGCATATCTGTCTGCCCTACAAGACTGGGAACCCTTAGAGCAGGGATGGGGAACATCCAGCCTGAGGGCCTTATATGGTCTGGCCCTGCCAAGGCATTAGAAATGAGTTAATGAAATGTTTGACCAAATACAGCAGGCTAATTTTTAAAAAATATATATTTTTCTTGCTGATAGTATTACAGATATCTCCCATTTCTCCCTTCTCTCCCCCCTCCCCCAAACCTCCAAAAATTCTCATCTCACCAACCCCACATCCAGGTACGAGGTACGTCAGTCTTCTCCATGCCTCCTTGCTTCGGGTCTTACTTTTGTTGGCCAATTCATCTTGTTCATTAGATTCCATGAATAAGTGAGATCATGTGATATTTGTCTTTCTCTGTTTGGCTTATGTCACTTAGCATCATATTTTCCAGGTCCGTCCAAAGCAGGCTAATTTTTACGTTGATAATTTTGTATGGCCCACGAACAATGCCATAAATATCCAAATGGCCCTTGGCAGAGAAAAGGTTCCCCACCCCGCCTTAGCGGGTAGGGGCAGCTTCTGCCTCCTCATCACCTCCCTGAGAGCAGCTAGCAGACCCCTTGTGCAGAGAAGGGCCACTCGGTAAAGAGCCGCATCCATCATACCTTGCCAAGATGAGCTCTGACGTTTACAAGTTTTGTTGTTGCAGGTGGAAAGCTGGAACTCAGAGCACACAGAACCACCTCTGAGGAAAGGAGCCGGAGGCCCTACCAAATTCCAGCCTCAGCTCCTCCCAATGCAGCCGCGTCCCAAGCCCCTCCTCCACCTGGTCATCATCCCCAGGCACATGGTCCTCGCCCCCCGCCTCCTGGCCAACGTGCCCAGCACCAGCAGCAGAGGAGGCCCCTTCCTTGCCCTGGCGCCCCCGTCCACCAGCAGAAAGGACCTCCTCTCCCCACGCCTCGGGTTCAACCGAAACCTCCCCGTGGGGCCAGAGAAAACACAAAACAGTCTTCTGGCAGAGCTGTCCCCGTCGTTTGATTCAAAGAGGTAGAAACTGTCCCTTCCCGGAAAGGCACCGTGGAGCTCCTGCACTCGGTGAGGACGCCTGCACTTCTACCAGCTGCATCCGACAAGCAGGGCGTCATCACCTCCCGGGCTCCTGGCCCACAGCCACACCTGCACACCCCTCTCAGCCACACGGTCTCACATCTGGAATCTCTGGCCTCCTCCTCAAGTGCCACCACAACAAGAAGGGAGAGACAATAAAAGTGCAATCGTTAGGATGATGGGTGACCGAGCACGAAACCCTGGAGCGCTCCTTGGCACCCTGAGTGATATCCAGCAGCCGCTGTGCCCCTGTCTCATTTACCAGCCACCTGCTGTTGCAGAGACTCTTGGGTTTCTGATGTGCCTAGTGGACACTTGCCTACCATCTCGTGAGAAGATGTGAAATTTAAGGTTTGACTTGACCCCAGTGCCTACTCATTATAGAAAGCAACCCAGCAGCGCCCGGCCAGTGTGGCTCAGTTGGTACAGTGTCGTCCTATGCACCAGGAGGTCACGGTTTGATTCCCTGGTCAGGGCACATGCCCAGGTTGCAGGCTCGATCCCCAGTAAGGGGCGAGCAGGAAGCAGCTGATCGATGTTTCTCTATCATCGATGGATGTTTCTTATCTCTTTCTGCCTCTTCTTTCTTTTCTAAAATCAATAAAAACTTAAAAAATACAATAAAATAAAGGAACCCAGCATCAAGCTGAAGCATCAAAAAGAGGCTTGTTGGTGTGGCAGCAGGACCACATTTGGTTCCCCCAATTCACCTGGGTCCCCTCCCCCAGCAGAGCACCCCCACCAGAGCATGCTCCCCAGGGCTCAGGTTGAAATTTCTCTGCACAAACTTCAACAAGAGGCACCAGAAAACATAATTCTTTGGGTACCACTTCCTTTACTGTTCAGACACGGTCACGACGATCTATAATGGTGGTTCCCAGCGTGGGGCACATGCCCCACAGAGGGGCAATTTGATTTTTAAGGGGGGCAATTTGAGAATGAGTTATTAACAGTGAATTTTTTTTGCATTTCTTATGGTTCTAGGGGCCTCATATACAGTATATAAATATATTTTGTGACATATTTATGCATCTCAATCCTCTATTATATGTTTTGAAATGTTATTTGCTATTTTTTCATATCACTTCATATTATTATGTTTTTTATCAGTTTCTTAGTGATTTCTTCCTCAGTACTTCAACTGTCCTTTCATTCTTTTATTTTTCTCTTTCATGGATGCCATGTTCTTTGGAAGCTTGTTTAGACCAAGTTAATTGCCTTTTAGGCTTCCTCCATGTGACTAAAAGTTCACTTTTTGAATAAGAATTACATGTCACAGGGGGCATCAGGATTTTAAAGATGCTTGGGTGCGGCATGGCCAAGAAAAGGTTGGGAACCCCTGATCTATAGAGTCATCCTAGAAAAGCCATGGATACTGGAGGTGCCGCAAGCCGATCAGATGACATACAAAAGGGCAGGCTCCGCGACAACTCGGCTGAATCAAATCCCAAGTGTCTTCAATGACCATTGCTCAAAGGTCAGACTCCATCCCCAGCTAGGGTCATGCTAGCTGTATTTTGGGAGAAGTGGGAAGTACAAAACATCTTTTCGTTAAGGTTCTTCAACACTAGGCGGTGAGAAGGCACCCGATTTGAAATGTGGGTGCCATGGTTGTGGTCCCATCCGCCGCCTTCGCCTGGCCCCTCTAACACTTGGTAAATCTTATCAGGCTCTGACAGGAAGCTCTGAGGTCTAAACCACAGGTCTGTGTGCCTATACAGGGCTTCCTGTGACAGCTTCCTGAGGGCTGAACTGCTTATTCCTTAGCACCCAGAGTCAATTATGAAGGATAATGATGAACGAAACCCCACAGTCTCCTGAAATTCACACAGGAAATCCAGCCAAGTAACGGTCATGGCAGGATCTACCTTCAGTAGGAGAGATGGAGGTCTGAGCACTGCCCCTTTCTCATTCCTCATTTCAGTCCTGAGCCATTCCATCAGGCATCCTGCCAGAATGGCCTCCATCCCATCCCTTCAAGGAGCCATCCCCGGCCTTTCCAGCTCCGTGCTGGGCCTTTCTTTTGAAATCCTCTAGCATTACACGTGATGCAGGTCATATGCTGCCTGTAAGTATTCGATCTTTTGTTATTCATTCATTCAACAAACATTTACTGAACTTCCACTGCATCCCAGGCTCTATACTAGGTACCAGGGAACACAGGGGTGTACAACCAACTGTATCTTTGCTTTCAAGGACCACACAACCTAGTTGGGGGGAGGAGGGACAACTTCCAGGGTATGATAAGTATGGGTCAGAGGCAAGTACGGGAGCCCAGAAGGAAGATTGGGACTACAGATTAGGGGGACGGGCTGGGGTGACACAGAAGGCTTCCTGAAGGAGGCGGCATTTGAATTAAGTTGTAATAGATAACCTTCGTGAAACAGAGGTGCAGAATTACCCATGTGGAGGGAACAGCATGAGCAAAACTCATGTCAGCTACCTGTTCATACATGTAAGTTTTTCCTTAACTACTGTGTTTCATCAATTTGAAGATACCGTTGATTTTAAGCGGCATCATTATTCTACATACCATAAAAAGAAAACTTCTCAACTGCCTTATAACAAAGCTAAGATACACTCTTCTTTTAGGCAAACCCCATTTCTGAGATGTTAAAATGTGAAAAGATACACATTTTTATTTCATTTATTTATTTCAATTTTATTTATTTATTTATTTTTTAATCCTTACCCAAGGATATTTTTTCCATTGACTTCTAGAGAGACTAGAGGGAGGGAGGAGGGGAGACACACACACACACACACACACACACACACACACACACAAATTGATTTGTTGCCTCCCGCCCCTCCTGGGGCTGAGGAACTTGCAACTGAGGTACATGCCCTTGACCAGAACCTGAGACCCCTTGATCTGCAGGCCAATGCACTAACCACTGAGGAAACCAGCCAGTGCTTTTTTTTTTTAATCCTCACCCAAGGACATGCTTATTTATTTTAGATAGAGAGGAAGGGGGAGAGAGAGAAAGAGAAACATCAATGTGAGAGAGAAGCAGATCAGTTGCCTTCCTGATGGAGATCGAACCCACAACCTAGGTAAGTGCCCTGACCAGGAATCAAACCTACGACTTGTCGGTGTGCAGGTTGACGTTCCAACCAACTAAGCTACATGGGCAAGGGCAAGATGTGCATTTCAGAATTGATGAAATGCATAGTTAATAAGCCTCGAGAACAAAAACCATAGCACTTTAAAGAAATATCACTAGCTAATTGATTCAATGGGTGCGCACAGCCATTGAAAGAAAGGGAAAGGAACACACGTGGCATTTACATATTTAAGACACACTCCCTGCACCGCTGGGATCTTCACCATGAGGCAGAAAACGTGGGCCTTGCTCAGCCTTGTGTGACCTACCACTGACCCTGTCCCCAGAGCATGGACTTCCTGAGAAGCGGTCAGACCAGTTGCATCAGAGCAGTGTGTGGAGCTTAAAAAAAAAAAGCAAGAATTTAGTAGGTGAGTTTGGGCCTCGAGCCGCTGCACTTTTAATAACCTGTCTAGGTGATTCTGACCGGTGATTCTCACAGGCCAACTGGTCTTCAAATGGTTACCCATCAGTAACAGGTGAAATCTGAAGACGTTCTAGATAATACGGCATTGCAAGAAAAACAGTGATAACACAGTTAACAAATCTTCTGCTGGAAACTACGAACACGAGGGAGTCAGCTGGGTTGGGTAACAGTCTCCAGGTAATTGGAGGGACTGGAACATCCTAGGGGGTCATGTGAAGGCAGGAAATTCAGGGTTTTTGACAGCCTCCCTGCCCTCCATAAGGAGCCATCTGAGCCTAGCAACTGGGGTCAGCCCAGCTCCAAGGGGGCCTGGGCTGTTGACTGGCAATTTCATCTCAGTCCTCCTTGATGAGGTCTCTACCGGGGCTCCTCGAGGCTCCCCGACGCTTGCCAGGCTGCAGCCACATGGTTCCACGGGGCCACGGCCCACGGTGTCCCCCTCCCAGAGCCACTGCCCACACTTTCCACTTGTCCACACTCTTCTTTCAGGACTCAGGGGCCTTGCTGACTCCTGAGTTCTGCTGTGGCGGGAGCCTTGTGAAGCCACCTTGCTCTGTCTCACTGTGGTCATCTTATCCAGAGCAGGAGGCGGCCCTTAGGCACTATAGCCAGAAGGTTCTACTCTCTTTCACTGGTTTTGCAAGCTCAAGACACTTACTCAGCCTCTTTGAACAACTGGTTTCCACATGTGTAAAATGGAGATAACACCTCACAGGGTTAAAGTGCGGATTAACTAGAAATACTGTATGAAAATGTACGTAGTGTATCTTGATGGACAGGAGACATCTGTTAACTGTGAGCTTTCCTTCTGGCTTGATATCTGAGAAAGAACACCCTGGATAGGAGACATAAATGACCCAGTTATTGGAAAGAGGCACAGCCATTATAAATTCGTAAGTACTCTGTAAGGGGAATAGTGTGCTATGAGTTTGATACACCTTAGTTTTCTAACATCGGCCATAAATGGACAGACTGACAAAACCCCATGTACCAGATGTATTAAAAGCTAAACAACACACCCTTGAGACCACCACACAGAGCTTGGATTGAGCCACCGGCCTGCTGTCCCCATTAAGGGGGGCCACTCTGACAACACATCTGGCCACCACTCTATAAGACAGCCTGGTGATTTATTCACAGCAATAGGGAACATTCTGGTCTTTCTGAAATCCTACCGGTCTGCATGAGACCTGCCGGCAGGTCAGGGCTGGCATAGGGGAGGTGCTTACAGTGAATGTTTGGAGGACAATCAACTTTCCTGGTTTCAAGCAAACCATCAAGCAGTCCTGGAGGCCCTGAATGAACTGGTGCAGCCAAAGGCAGCCACACAGACTGGAGGCAATGCCTAGACTGCGGGAGCTCTGGTCCGGGAGTGGGCAGGGCGGGGTACCCGTAAGGCCGGGGAATTTCTAGTTGAGGATAACAGCTTAACTCATGTGTTAGCCTTTACCCCCTCTTCCCCCACCCACCCCCCAAAAAAACAACTACATTAACTTGAACAAAAATAAAAGATACAAACCACAGACAGGGACAAAGAGAACAGGAAAAAAATCCACACAACAGTAGCACATGTGGGAGCTTAAGAAAGCAGAGTGAAGGGTGGTAACTGACTAAGTGAACTTCAAAGGTGGAATCAATCTGAAGGCAGCAGAGGAGAAAGCCATGGTGCAAACTGATTTACTGTATTACACCCTCAAAAGGCGAAGGAATCTCCAGAAGTAGGGTGCTGATGGTGCTGAAACAGGAAGATGCTGAAAGATCTGCAGAAGGAGCAATTAGATCCTGTCCCCAGCACCGTGCAGGTCGGTTACTGGTCAGGTGAGGCCAGTAATTCTCTGCAGAGGGTAAAACAGAGGGTTTCTGAACTGGGGATGCCCTACACAGTTAATAGAACGGGACTACATTAAAAATAGAGAAATTAAATAAA